GCAGAAACCCATACTTAAATCAGACAAAGCTCCACCCATCAACACAGAGTTACACCTCACTGAAGTAAGTTCTGTACAGCTTTTGTGTACAGCCTACATGCACACACAAAAGGCTTCTCAACGTCTTGCTCTTAGCAAATGATAGATCATGTGGATAAGCATACTCTTAAGGCAGCTCTCTTGTTCTAGAAATCATCTCAGCATTTTTTTTTTCCAGATCATTTTGCTTAAAAGAAACCAAGTGCATATATCACTGTTATGTTTGCTCATACTTGCTTAACATGTCAATTTTATGTTATTTTCCTGTAGAATGAAGCAAAATCGTTTGCTACGTAGATAATAGCTGTAAGGTATTTTATTTAGCCAATGTAAGTCCATCACAGCCAATGTACTCCTGCAGCAATGTTGTAAAGTAACTCAAACCAATTCAATCAACTATCGCACAGCTTTTTGAGAAGAAAACACCTACAGCTAATGAAAGAAATTACATTCAACCAATTATTATACTGCCATCTAGTGCTTACTGAATGTTCAACTGTTCAGAGAAATTCTATTAATTTCATAGCAGCATAAAGGCATGCAATATCCTGAATTGGAAGGGGCCACCACCTCCAATCCCTGGCTGTACGCAGAATTCAAACCTGATGTCTGAAAGCATTGTCTGAATGCTTCTTGCACTCCAGCAGCTCAGTGCTGTGACCCCTGGGGAGCCAGTTCCATGCCCTCTCTGCTCCAGTAGTTCGTGGTTCCTACAATTGGCTTATAGCAAAAGAAAAGTTCAGCTCACATATTTGAATATAGGCATGCATATAGGGAGCTTACCTAAGAGCAGCAACTGGGAACAGTTTAAACTGTGAAAAGTGACAGAATACGCTGAAAGAATCAATTTGAATTGTGGTTGTTTTGCACACACATAAATAAGCCTGGAGGGCCAGTACTTGAGGACCTACTTGAGGGACATCCAAATGTAGACTGAGAAAAAGCAAGTGGGATACAGTTCACACACTGTACCATCTCTTTCCTTGTGTAAGGAGGCAATGAAATCAAAGACATTAAAATATAAAAAGATGATATTAATGTGTTTTCCACAGGTTGTTAATAGAAAGCGAAAAGCATTTCTAGCTGTTGTGGAAGAAACTGAGTTAATAGAGTCATGGAATGACTTGAGTTGGAAGGGACATCAAGGATCATCAATCTGCAACCCTGCTGCCACAGGCAGGGCTGCCAACCTCCACATCTAATACCAGACCAGGCTGCCCAAAGCCCCATCCAACCTGGCTTTTATGCATAGTTTATGCAAGCTAGTTCCTGTCAAGTTGATTTTATGATCTTTGAAGAAAATATTCGGACAACAGAAATATATTTGTGGAAAACAAAACCTATTTTTTTTTCTTTGGAATGTCATTCTCTATTTTAATTTTACCCAATGTTTTCTTGAGGCAAATTATATCTGATATTCCTCTTTTTCCAGGAAAATCACCCTGCCATGCTATCTAAACCCCAATATTTTCAGAAACAGTTCTGCATTTCCCTTCTCACATATGGTTTAGGTATATGCTTGTCCTACTGTCATACCTCTATAATACAATATAAAAAAATAGGTGATTTTGAAATGTCAGAAGAAAAAAGTTACAAAATTCATAGTTAAAAATCACTTTACATAATGTAAACTTTTTGCCCTCCTAAGTAGGTGGTTGCTTAAGCCTCAAAATATTTAAAACGAATTCATCTTTAACTCAAGGTAAATGATACACTGAGCTATTCATTTCTAAAGTTTAATTTATACTTTGGTTGTAAATTTCTAAAAATACATGTGAAATTAAGAGTTTCATCCGTTATGGAACCTCTAATTATTTGCTCTTGAATACAACTGGAAATTTGGTAGAATAAAGAAAGCGAGAGTGCTCATTCTTTTCTTCACAGCTCTTTCAGTCACTGTTACATTATTTGTCCTAGCATATGAGTCCTTTGTCTCATCTGCATTAAGCAGTCCAAATTGTCTTTCCATAGATGTAATAACTTTTCTCTACCTATTTCCATCAGTCTTATATCTGGTCGCCTTTATAAACTTAAGCAGTTTGTACTAATAAAATAGAATTATCCTATGGCCACAGCAAGCCTTCAGCTTTCAAATTTGTATATTAATTTGAGAAGGACTGAAAGAGTTTTTATTAAAGCCAGTGCGATGCTCTTCTCTTTCAATAGCTTGCAGTTAAAGGCTACAGAAATTTTAACAGGTACTTTATTTATGAAGCTAAAGCTTCATAGTAAGTGGTGGAGTTTGACTGGATGATTTATACCGCATGTAAACAGTCCCACAGAAAGCCTACAGGAAACGTATAGTTTGCATTGTATGAAAATCAGAAGCTAAATATGGAGAGAAAGATTCCTCTTTCATATGTATTCAACAGTGAACTTTTTATTTTTTTTAATCTCCACAGGATTTTAAGTGCTTACAGGAGCCTGAAATAAATAAGTACCCATAAATTGTCTGTAATCTAGAAAATACACTTCATTTAGTGCAGTATGACTGTCAGTCAGGACTGTTAAAACCAATTCATGCAAATACAAGCGTCTTTACTGTTATATTTACCTTTTCACTTCTCATTTGCATTCTTGTTCCTTGTGGGATGTGTCAGGAGCCCATGTTCTCAGAGCAGACTGTTTTTACGCAGAGCTGAATGTAGTCTAAGTACTAATTGTACCTGCAGTACGAATAAGAAACAGCAATAATAATTACACCTTTTATCTTGATGTGAAAAGGCTGTTTCCATTCATGCCAAATTTAAAATAAAATCGAGAGGAACAAAAGTAGATATTAGGCCTCTTTGTGAAAGTTAGTGCCCAAATATTGTAATTATTACTGACATGGAAGAGGCTATGCCCAAGCATAGGATTTAATCCCGGGTTTCTAATCTATGCTAGTTTTCCATAAAGGCCATCTGCAAATAAAGACATCATAGCACAGAATTGTCGGGCCATACTATATCTTTTTACCTTAGCTGTAATACAAGAATGGGCCTAACTCAATATATGTTAGGCAATGGGAAGATTTTCAAGTCGGGTGCACTAAAGCAACAACATCTGGGACATTCATCAGAAGATGGAACTGGAACTGAGCGTTAGAGAATCCTAAAAAGCTTACGTCATCTTACATCATCAAAACCTTACTTACATCCTTAAAACCTCTCACAATAAAAATTACTCTGAATCCAGTAATTAAAACTGTATGCTCTTCTGAGAACCAGGTACCCGAACTATCCACAATCCATGCAACTGGAGCATTCACCTTTAACCCTCCCAGTCCACTACATGATAATTCCAAGTGGTGAATCAAATCCTTGATTTAAGGTTTCGTGATTCATAAGTGTTTGAACAACTGTTTTAAATTCTTAATGTTTTTGACTGATATCTCTCTTGATATCTTTTAATGAGAACTGTTGGTGATATGTGGATGGTTGGACTGGATGATTTCGTAGGTCTTTTCCAACCTTGGTGTTTCTGTGATTTCTATGATTCTGTGATTCTCTTTCCCCCACGTTGTTTCACATCAGATGTCATCCTGGCCAAGTTCAGAATGCAAACCCACTGAAAACAAAAGGGACAAGGACATTTGTGAAAGCAAAATGTAGGGAGATAGATACGCAGTTGACCATTTTATTTGGTTGTAAATCAAAGCAACACAAGATGATGTGTGACTTTCATTAAAAAAAAAAAAAAGTTTGGGATTGAGTGCACCCTTAGTAAGTTTGGGTGGGAGTTGGGAGGGAGCGTAGATCTATCTGATGGGAGAAAGGCACTACAGAGGGACCTGGATAGACTGGATCAATGGGCCAAGGTAAACCAAATGAGTTTCAATAGGACCAAGTGTCAGGTCCTGCACTTTGATCACAACAACCCCAGGCAATCCGACAGGCCTGGGGAGGAGAGTCTGCAAAGCTGCCTGATGGAAAGGGACCTTGGTGTGCTGATGGACAGTGGGCTGAATATGAGCCAGCAGTGTGCCCAGGTGGCCAAGAAGGCCAATGGCATCCCGGCTTGGATCAGCAATGGTGTGGTGAGCAGGACCAGGGAAGTCATCCTGCCCTGTACTCAGCACTGGTGAGGCCTCACCTCGAGTGCTGTGTTCAGTTTTGGGCACCTCAGTACAGAAAGGACACGGAGGTGCTGCAGCAGGTCCAAAGAGGGGCAACAGGGCTGGTGAAGGGCTTGGAGAATATGGCCTGTGAGGAGAGACTGAAGGAACTGGGGCTGTTTAGACTGGGGAAGAGGAGGCTGAGGGGAGACATTTTGCTGTCTTCAAATACCTGAAAGGTGCCTACAGGGAGAGCAGGGTTGGTCTCTTCTCACTGCTGACAGGATGAGGGGAAATGGGCTCAAATTGTGTCAGAGGAGGTTTAGGTTGGATATGAGGAAATAATTCTTTACAGAAAGGGTTGTTAAGCACTGGAATGGGCTGCCCAGGGAGGGGGTTGAGTCCCCATCCCTGGATGTGTTTAAGAACCGTTTGGATGTGGTGCTCAGGGACATGATTCAGCAGAGGGCTGTTAGAGTTAGGGCAGCATGGTCAGGTTGTGCTTGGACTCGATGATCTTTAAGGTCTTTTCCAACCTAAGCAATTCTATGATTCCTCAAACAAAGTTTAACGGTATTTTGATTTTTTAAAACTGCTATAAATCGTTCTAAAAATCGATCTAAATGTATTTATAGTCGAAAAACATTCTAGCCATTATGATTAGCCCGCACTTAGCTCCTTGGCTGTGCGACTGAGTGCAGTGCGCTGCACACAAGCGGTTCTGGTTTCTGCACAACAGATGCGTTAAGCAGAAGGGAGCGTTTTATTGAAATATCCTTAGTGCAGATGTTCATCAGCCACGCTGCTGCGCTGACCGTGGCAGCCAGGCTGACCCCTCCGCACGGCACAGCACCTTAACGAAGTGACACCGCGCGCCTCAACGCAACCGCGCTGCCGTAGCCCCGCCCCCACAAGCGGGCGGGGCGGGGCCCAGGCCTGCGCCTGGCGGAACCGCCGCTTAAAGGCGGGCGGGTGGAAGCGGGCTGGGCTGTGGAGATGGCGGTGACGGGACGGCAGACGGACTTGGAGAACGTGAGCGCGGGCGGAGCGGGGCTCGGCAGGGCGCGGGGGCGGAGTGTCGGCGCTCGGGAGCGGGGCCGGGCTTCTGTGCGAGGCGGAGTGGGCGCAGCTGGCAGCGGGGAGCGCCGAGCTGGGCGCCTGCCGGTGGGGCTCCTCCGCTTCTGGTTCTTTCTTCCGCTTATTACTTATTTTTTGCTCTTCAGCGACAGGCTGCGGCCTGCTTTTCCTCTTGGTGCTGGGAGCTGCTGAGCGGAGAGCTGCCGGCCCGCCTCGGGAAGCGAGAGGTTTCCCTGTGCCGTGCGGAGCTGGGCGCGTGGTGCCGCCCGTCGGGGTCCGGCTGTGCTGGGCTTCTTTATAAACGCCGCTTATGTTATGCCTTACAAAAGCAGCCTGCTGTTTCTCCTAGAGCAGCTGTAGGAGGCTGTAGACTGTCAGTGTGGCCTTTATGCAACAGTTCGTGCTGCTGCTTCATCTACAGCAGGAGGCCGTGTGTTCTGATTGCTTTGGCTTCTAATGGGTGTGGTTTTAGCAAGCCTTAATTGAATGAAGCCTTCAGTTGACCTAGTTAAAGTGCTTCTTAGCTTTGCATCTCTTCAGTTCTCCTGGTCGCCTTACTGAGCACTGCTCATCCAGGGGGCTCTATCAGCTGCTGTACCCAATGTAAGTGGTGGATGCCCCGTCCTTGGAGGCATTCAAGGCCAGGCTGGTTGTGGTTCTGGGCAGTCTGGTCTGATGGCTGGTGACCCTGCACCATAGCAGGGGGTTGAAACTAGATGATCTTAATGGTTCTTTTCATCCCAGGCCATTCTGTGTGGAGGTGGGTTGTAGCTGACCTCACAGCAGTCAGATGCACTCAGATAATGCTGTGTTGCTGTATTTTGGAAGCAATGAGCTCACCTTTTCCAATCAGGCAGGAGAAATTGTCCTGACTGCGGCTTGTTGCCTTCATCTGAGCAGTGAGCTGCTAGCAACACTGGTGTGTATGAGGTGGGATTGAGGGGAGATGGCTTTGTGGCTGGGGTGCCTGTCCTGAGTGCTTTCTTCCAGAGTTCAAAATCATTCCTGATGTCATGTAACAGGGATGGAGCATTTTTGTACTTCTACTTCTGGATTTTAAGTTAGTAATGGAAAAAGGAGCGGTAGCATTTTGAGACTTAAAGGTCTACTGTGGAAGGTGATTTTACCGTGTGAGTATTCCTTCAAGAACTGCTTGCATTCAAAGGCTGTAGTAAATGAAAGTTTGAATAGGATTCAAACAGGTGAGGAAGCCCTACTTGCACCCTGTAGTTAGATGAGCAAGGCATTTGGTGTGCTAAATTAAAACGTAATGCTGGCTGAAGTAAGCCAGATGACTACTTGCTTTGTTGTAGGCAGATGTCTACAGATGAAACAGCACTTAGGAGCCTATCTCTTCCTATTCTGTCCTAGTAAATAGTTGTTATTTAAGCCCGTAAGTTGTACTTTGTTTTTCTATTCCATGTCCACAAGGAAAGACTTTTTTTCCTTCTACCAATGCTTAGGTTATTCTTACTACTTTTTTTGCTAAAAAAAAAAAAATCACAAATATTTCAGGGGAATTACATAGTTAAGGTACCTGAGCGGAAAGTGGAGTTAAAGAAACCTTAGTGTTTGGCAGCACTGTGTCTCAGAAGGTCTCTTCATGTTCTCTGGTGATGGCAGAGCATCTCTTGCCCAGCCCTTACGGGCATCTTTCTGAACTGATTCTTCATCCTTGCCTGGATTTGGTTTGAACTATTGCTGCAAGTGTTTGGTGTTTTGGTGGTTGAACCACTTGAACTGAGCTTGCATTTGTTAAGTGGTAGACTACAACTCTTTCTTTGTCTTGAATTTACTTGCACAAATGCGTGAATAACAGACTTTCAGTACCTGTATAAAACATGAGGATGACTCTAAGACTAAGCTTCCTTAAAACTGAGAGTTATGCCAGGAGGTGGACTCAGGTTAGCTTCCTCTGGGTTTTAATTGGCTTAGAACTTAAGAGCATGTATCTTGAGATACTGATCTTGTTCTTTCTTCTCCATAGCTGAAGCAATAGAAAATTGTTCTGACTTCGCTTTCAGAACTTATTTGTGTTTACTTCTCCCTTATTCCTCTGCTCCAGGGCTCCTTGGAAATAACACAGAGTTTAGAAGATGAAGCTCTGTTGGATGCACCGCTTACTTCGTCTCATACGCTGCATTCTCAACTAAGGCCGAGATTTCATGCTATCCCAGTAGTTCTCCTTGCCAACTTTCTGTTGCTACTGCACGTAAGTTTAAGAAACATGACTTCCTTATGAAAGTGTACTATGTTCATTCTGAAATGTTTCCCCAGCAAATCACTCAGTAATGCTATGGCACATCTCTTCAGGGAGTGGGAAAAACATTTTAAAGAATAGCTGTTTGAAGTTGTTGGAAATGTATCTTGAAGTAACACTACTGCTGCAGAGGTGCTCAGATGAGTTACAGAGTGCTAAGATCTGAGCTTAATGTCACGGGGAGGCTTAAAGTATTTCTTATCATAGTTACTAAGCATGTCAAGTTAGACTAATTCCTGGGTTTTGCATGGTAGTGAATGGAGGGGTAAAGGAATCCAGATGTTATTTCTTGCCACGACTTCCATCTGGGGGTTGAGGTGGAAAAGCACAGGCAGAGCACGATGTTATAGCTAACAGTGTGAAGGTCTTGCTGGGGTTGGTAGACTGAAGCTGGGAGAGTCCTATCTAGTAGTGAGTTTATCCTTAAAAAGTTAAAGCCATTTATTGCTTATGATCATGTAGAAATTTCACAGGAAGACCAGGTAAAGAGTTTGCTTCCTAAGAGGGAATTCAAATGGTACTTTCATGGCATGATGCTGTTTATACAGACCTGGAGATGGTGTGCTTTTAAAGCCAGAGAATATTCAATACCAGCAAACGTAGAAATTCTTTAATCATAAATGACAAAAATTCTATCATTAGTCCTATGCAAAGCACTCTCTAATAGAATTTTAAAAACTTGTTTCAGCCTCAGAGCTGTTTGAACAATATGCCCTGGCCTTTTTTTAATACATGTTTTGTGTGCTTCGTAGTAATATAATGAAATCCCCCTCTAAGCCAACTTAAGAAAGCCTGTTCCTGCTTTTCTGTTGAGTAGACAGCTAATATTTCCCATAGTGAATGTCTAGCTGAATGTCTAGCCATATGTGTTTCACCTACCAGAACATCACTGGTACTGTTAGATAGCATTTTGAGTTTGCATTTTGAAGGTAAACACTGCTGTTCTTAGTGAAGAACTACACTTTCCAGTGCACTGGGACTGTTTCAGTCTGCTGTACACAGTTGTAGTGCAATGTCAGCCACTCTGATGCTAGAGATCTGCTAGAAACTTGTCAGTTCCCATCTTTTTCCTCTCTCCTGCAAGTGGAGAGAAAGGGAGGGTAAGAAAAGAACTGCTCAGGTCTCTTTGAACCTGCAGTTTTCCAGGTTAAGTCTTGCTGCTGTTGCTGAGCCTGTTCCAGGGCAGGTCAGTAATTGGAACAAAATGGAGAGGCACCATCTTCTGTTGGTAGAGTAATTGCCCAAGGAGTGGTGCGATCTCTTGCTGCAAAGAAACATGCTGATGGATGAGGAAAGCTAGTGATCTTTTTTTTTTTTTTTCCCCCTTCCCTCTCAATTCTACTAATGTGCATGAACTCTGTGGAATGTGGTGACGTCAGGTTAGCTTATGATGGATAGCCAACGCATGCAGCAAGTATCCTGGAGAAGTTAACTCCTGATAGTGTTGTGAGGTGAAGCCCTAATGCATCTCTACCATGGTTTGCGTGGCACTTGATGTATTTCTTTTCCCTCCTGTACCCAGAAGTGGAGCTAGGCAACAAATGCTCCTTCACAGTGGTTGCTTAGTTGCATTAAATTCTAGAGTGCCCTTATGTTGGTGTATGTTGTGGCTGGGGTTCTGAGTGGCTTTCCATTTCCCAAGCCTTGCTTTTTTTCAAGCCTTTTTGCTTCTGTCAGGAGACTCCAGAGGAGTAGAAGATACACAGACCCCTTTATATTAACCTTATCTTTTGTCTGCATGTGTATGTAAAGAAAACAAAACTGCTTGAATTCTGCTCTTTATAAGAGTCAAGTTTCATTTATAAATACCTTGACCTGGAGTGGGTAACTTGGTGTTGGGCTTCTTGGTGTTGGAGTGGAAGCTGAACAGCATTATTAAATAGCACTCTTAATGCAAGCTGTGTCCTCATTGTAGGTGTTGACGTAGATTAATAGAGCTGTGATGCTGGAGCATGACAGCTGGCATCACACAACTTAATGTAACTGTTTTCTGTTCTAGAATACTTTTCTTATACTTGGAGTGAGTTGAGCTGGTTGTGCTGTTGTTTTTAAAGGCAAACCTAACAGTAAATGGACTAAATAAAACAAATTAGGTGAATTTTTCCTAGCTTTGCAAGAAAAGGGCATGGTTACATTATAGCTTAAATGTTCTGTTGATCTTAACTTACTTTCCATTTAAGATACTTAGCTCTAAGGTAACTTTGAATTTTAATTGCATTTGAGTAACATTCTTAAGTCTAATGTAGATGCTTTTCCCCTCACTGCTTTTTCTTTCTGCCTTCTACCCCGGCTTTCTTGTGGTGCGATGTTGCTTTCTGTTAATTGCAAGTTGTTCTCTTCCCAGTTAATCCTTCCTTAGCTTCTCAGTCATCAACTCCATTCACAACTCAAGTGGGCTGAAGGTGGTTCACATCAGTAGTTAATTAGTGGCTCTGAAAGACTGACTTCTGTGAACGAAGTTGCTTGAGAAATTACAAAAATAGCTGAAGTTGAAGGGTGTGAAAGGACTGGATGTCAGTGAAGTGGAATAGGAGTGAACTATTGAAGTGAAATGGCTTTGGAAGTCACTTTCTTTTGTATCTTGTATTGATGAGTTGTTTCTACCAGTTTTGAGATATGGGGAACTTATAAAATCCAAGTGTATTAGTGTCATGAAAGCTGCTTAGAGTTGAAGCAAAAGCATTTTTGCTGTATACAGAAGCTATCAGTTGACTTTGTGTCATTGGGATTTGTCTTATTTCAGTTCAGTTTTAATGTACTTACTAAACAGAATGAAGAAGGATGTGAGAGGACTCTATTTTTTGTTTGTTGTTTACTAAATGAAAATGTTTAAAGAAATCCACAACATTTTGTAGGGATTTAACATGCACACACCTGAGATAATCTGCACCAAGCACTCCACTTCTGGTCGGCCAGAAGATGGCACATGATGCAGTGTTGATGCTGTAAGCCTGAGGAGAAGCCTAGAAGGCATGAAAAATTACAATAAAACTTCACTGGGCTGGTCATTCTGATTAATTATTTAACTAAATAAAGAAACTCATATAAAATAGTCTTCTATGGGGGTTTTTTATCCCATGTTAGTAATTCACTGTGTAAGGTAGTAAGTTGATGTTTTGCTTTCTGATGTCAACTTGGAGATTGGATTTAAAAAGATTAATTATCACTAATGAAATGTCCATTTCTTATGTGGAAAGGCATGTGGAGCAGTAACAAGTTTAATTGAATAAGTGTAAAACTTTGTGTGAATCACTTTCCCCTCAAAATAAAATGGAGAGGGGGAGAAAAAAATCGCTCAGAAATCAGGTTAATTCTCTTAGAAAAAGAAACTTAGTTAATGAAATTGAGTTGGGGGGAATACTGAAAACAGTGGTCATTCTTAACTCTGTGCAATGAGATGTATGTTACTTGAGTTACATGTGATTGTGGTAAGATGACCTAATGTTAACAGCTTATCTCAACTTCAGTGAAATCAGTTCAGAGAGATGCTTAACAAATCATAGAAATCTGTCTTGTTTGATAGCTGACTGCGTTTTCTCCCTTTTCTTTGTTGCTCTTTCAGGTTGCTTTCGTTGTTCTAGCATTTCTAGCAGCTATGTTTTGTTCTTACCCCAATCCAAATCAGGATAAATGCCCTGGGAACTATACTCACCCATTTAAAGTACAGACTGTCATAATAATTGCCAAGGTAATTCTGTGGATTCTGCACGTGTGTTTTGAACGCTACGTCCACCACCACCACAGCAGGATCAGGAGCAGAGGCTACTTCTTAATATATCGATCGACAAGGCATCTCAAGAGGCTTCCATTGGTGATACATTCTACAGGTGAAGTGAACTTGTTTTCTTGTTCATCTTGTCAAGCTGTACGTCCTGGTGTGCTGAAAGACTGAACAACTGTGTATCTCGTGTTGTCAACTCGAGAAATGAAACGCTTCAAATGAGAAGTTGTGGAGGCTATTTTATTCAGATGGGCTGTTCTCACTTGCCAGATGCATGTTGTGAAGAGCTTTCATAGTACAAAAGTGCCCAGAAGTTGAAGTAACAAATGTACCAATTTATGTTTAGCTGCTAGTGATGTTCATTTGCATACTGATTAATCTAATTAGATAAGTGACAAGATTGCAAATCCATCCAGCAAGCATAGCCTTGTTTTTCAGCCTTAGTATTTTAGTGAAAGTTGAGTGGAAAAAAAAAAAAAAAGGAAAGCAGCTGTATCAACTGTTGTTCAATAAATGTCTGAAATGAGTTAAACAAGAGAATTTACAGTCTGTAGCAGGGCTCCATGTAACACTTGGCTCTACTTGTAACTGTATTTTTCTTCCAATGGACAGCATGTGATGTGTGACAGTGGGGGTTTTTTTCATGTATTCTGTGCTACACCACTGGCCAGTGAAGCTGGAAAATGTTTCAACAGTCAGCTGCTTTGCTTCTTATAAAGAAAAAAGCTCTCCTTGATTGAATCTAAAGATCCATGTAACTTGAGAGGCTTCTCCACGTGTGGATGACAGTAGCAGGGAAGAGCAGTGGCTTCCACAGTGTTTTTCTTAGCTGTAAATCTTGTAAAGATCTGGAATGGGAACTTTTAACCAGTCTTGTAGGCTGTGGCCCTACTGCATATAAAACTGTAGCTTTCATTCTACCTGGTCATGAAAAGGTATGTGAAAACATTGTTTGAATGTGCAGAACTGCAGGCTATGGCCACTAGATAGAGCTCTGAAGATGCTTTTGGCATGCAGTGACAAGATTAGACTGCAGCAGGCTTAAGAATGTTGAATAATAGTTAAAAGATTGTTTCTGCCTATTGAACCAAGACTGAGGTTATTAAACTTGACTCTTGTCTTAGATGGAGTCAGTTTCTTCTCTGCTTTACCAACTGTGGGCAAATGTAAATACTCAGGTGCAATCAGTTCTGTGCTGTGAACTTGTGATGTAAATCATCTGTAGTTCAGAAGGTGGTTAGCCCAAATACTCTTAACACCCAATTATGCTAATTGCTGTTGATGTACTGACAGTTCAGTTGCCTAATTCAGGAGAACTGTACAGTCTTCTTGTTTTAATGGCCTTAATATGTGTTGTTTGTGGCTATAGCATTTGGACAGGAAATGATCATGTTTTGCCTTCCACGTGAGGCATGCAGCAGTGTGTGAGAATTTAAAGAATGCAAAGTAAATTCTAAGGTCTGTAACTCAATGCTTATTCTCTGTAGCTATTTGTGCTCATCTCAGTTTAAACTTCAGTGACCTGCAAGTATTAAAATAATAGCTAGGCAACTGGAAACCTGTGTAGGCATCTCTTTTTCAAAGAGTGAGAAGTCTTACTTAACTTTATTTTTATGGGATGTACTTTGAAATACACTGAAGTCTCTTGCTTGATGGAAAATACCCTTCTATTTCATACTGAGTGATGTGACCTGTTAGGTATTGAAAGGGGGAGTGGGGGTAAATAAAAGCAGTTTTTAAGAAGGATAGTAGTTCCTAGCAGGGGTAGGAATTGTTCAAGTCAACATATGCTATATGTTAGGTTTTCCCATCCAGTCTTCACCCTCTCCTTAAGTCAGAAAAAAATCATTAAAAAAAAGAAGCAACCCTTATCATTAATTATCATTACAGTCAAATGCTGAAATGAAAGTTAGTTTTGCTGCCAAGAGTTGTGAGCTTGCACCACCTGTGTTAGCAAGAGAACCAAACAGGCAAGCATGGTTTGAAGCGTTGCAGCCTAATGTGGTTCTCCAGGATTGAGGGGATTAATAAGTTACTTCTAACAGCTAGTGAAATTCTTATCCCTGAAAAATAATGCTTTTTTTTTTTTCCTAGGTAATGCAGCCCTGCTTTTGATTTTGTCAACCCAGCATTCCTTTCCTGATCACAGTAAAGTGTACCTGTATCTTATCCTGGGTGTCCTGGGCCTGGAGCTGATCAGTTCACTGACATGTCTAGTGATTTACACAGGTGAGAGATGAATTTTTGCCTTATGGAGTGTGGATTGCTCTAACTGAACAGTGTTGTTTGCCCTCAGGGTAGAATGCTTTGGGTGTCCCAAGATGATTAACTGCAAATAGGAAATGAATCCGTACCTGTGGAAAGGCTGGAGTGAATCTGGTACAAATGGGAAGGCTGAAAGGTTTGAAACAGGTTTCTAAGTTCTTGGTAAACAAAAGTGCTTTGCTTAATGCTGCAGGTTCTTTGAAGTGGCAATAAAAAAAATTGTTGCTGAAGTGTCCTGTGAACTGTCTTGGCTGATAGTGCATTCTCAATTGCACTCATTGTGAGTTGCAAAGCTGCGGAAGCTGGTTTTGTCAGCTCCTGTGGGACTTGCAGAATTGATGGTGTGATGTGCCTTGATCTCCAGACTTCTAAATCTATATTCCCTTCTCTTCTTTACCTGTCCTATCTCCAAAAGCTTCAGTTCCTCTGTCACTAAAATGTAAGAACTGCCCTTAATTAATGCTTTTTTTTTATATTGCTTGTATTCCTGCTTAACAGTAGCAATGTTTTCTATGGCAGAGAGGTGAAATCAGACAGGCAGATTAAAGTTTGTTCCAAGCCTTGAATCAAACAGTAAGAAAGTTGAAGCACTCCGTTCAGGACTGCGTGCGGTTAAACATGAAGTAAAAGCCATTTTCATGGCAGTCAGTGTGTGTCTCAATTTGTGACTTGTTTGTGGCTTTTATTATTGCTAATTGTAGCAGCCTTTTCTTATAGAAAAGAAAGCTTTGGTGTAATGACACTAAGAAGTGCTGCTGATTGTTTTGGTCATCTAGGAAATAAAAGTTTCTTGCAACAAAACTGAAATCAAAATACAGCAAGCAGTCCCAGCTCTGAACTGCATCTCAGTTCTGCATGGCATGTGAGATGCCTCCATGTGTGTCATTTTATCAGGCTTTCCATTGAATTAACCTGTCCTGGAGGAAACATGAGCATGGCAGTACTAGAGAGCTATTCCAAGAATGCTGGAAGCCATCCCTTCTTAGCATAAGTATACTTGCTTTCCTGGGAAACTCAAGAGTAGAGATAAGCTACTAAACATCATTAGAACTTGAGCAGTTCCAGTGAAACAGTATTTGTTACCCTGAGACCTCTTGTAGCTCAGTGAGCTTCATTCTGTGTCTCTTACCTTAGTAAAATAGAGGAAGCTGCTATTAAGGTTGATTCCCTTCTAGTGAAATCTGAGACTGGAATTCTGTAAGAGCTCTTAAATGACCTGACCTCCTGACATCAAGATGGTTGTCTTCCTTGGCTTGTACAACAGTACTCATGAAATCATTAACCAGTTTATTCCTAGGAAAGTGTGGGGTGTGATGTTCTTGTTTCTTTGGGACTGAGCTGGGGGAGGCTGGAGGAGAGTTCCTTGAGTGCTGGAATCAAAGCAAAGGAGGGACAAAATTGCAATGCAAGAAGGAATGAAGCCTCTCCCTTTTGACAATAGTTACCTTGCTCCCACAGCAGTCTGAGCTTCATTCTCTGAAACTTGATTGATGTACAGAGCAAGTATTAATTATTATGTAACATTTGACTGAAGGTGGGAAGACCTTTCTAATTACCTTAGATGACCTTTTCCAGCAGGTAGGTAGTTCAACTTCCATCCCAAAACATTTTGAGGTAAGCTAACAGACCTCACATACCTGTGTGTGTAATGATTGGTTTTGAGGTAGTTTGACAATCCCAAGGTTGAAGATAAACCGTGTATTTCCCGAAGGGAATAGAGGAGTACTTGCTTAGATTTCATTCTGATGCAATAGTGACATTCACATATATATATTTTTTTCCTTCTCAAAACAGAGGATGTTATGTGGCAGGAAAAAATGAAGCCTCCTTTTTGGGATATTTCAGAGGCAGTCTTCTAGTCTTTTGGAGTGCCTGCCCCATTATAAGGCAAACACTAGCAGATATCACTGACTGTTCTATGACTGTACCACTAATGTAGCTCTGCAGCTACACCAGCAATCCTGGGAAGCCTATGGTTGTTCTGCACTACAAATTCACAAACATCAACCCCTTGCCTGTGTTGGTAGATGACCCCTGAGCTTAATGGGAACGTCGTACCAGTGTAGAGTCAAGTTGCTTCTCTCCTGTGGATTTTTTTGCATCTCTACTCGAGTTACTTCTGTAGAATTCATATAGCTGTCTTTTTGTTTAAATATTACTGAATGTAGTGCCTCACAAATAAAAATGCTGTGGAATGCCCAATTGAGACTTCATAATTCATGAACTACTCAGAAGTAGTTAACAAAATAGTGTCCCGCGAAGTAGAGCTCCCCTGAATATCAACTTTAATCCAGTTATGTGCCTTTATATATATATATATATTTTTATATATATATATATATATATATATAGCTATGAGCTCTGGAGGTGAGGGATCAGATCTACATGGAATTGTAGATTCCATGTAGATTTCTCTGTAACAGACTCAATTTATGTAAATCTTTTGAGTGAAGTTGGTGTGCCTGGGGAAAAAAAGCGATGATGCAGAGAGCTCTAAATGTAAGTTGAATTAATCTCAAGTTCATTATTGATAGGGCTGGGGGTCAAATATTATGTTTTACTAAATATATGTACTTAATGACTTTCCTACATCTATCTAATAGTGCATAAATAAGACTACCATCCTCATAAAGCATGTTGGAAATTCCTGGTCTATTCCTTTGTGGCTTTACTTGTGGAGGAATACTGTCATGGAAATAACTAACCTTTGAGCTTAACTTGTAGCTAACCTCTGGAGGGCCTTAGCATTGTTTTAGCAGGGTGCCCCATCGTAAACCTTACTATATTATTAACTTGTAAGAACAGTCTTTCTCTGCTTTAGTGGAGGTTTCTCATGTGGACCTAACTGAAATGGCTCTTTGGTATTAAATGTAGTTCTTGTGAAGCAATATACAGTTGGAAATGTATAATATGGATCTCTGAAGTACATTCCCTTTCGTAATTGGGAGCTGGTATTTGAGTAGTTTCAAGTATTTGCAGCTTCCTTCCAGAAATAACATGGTGTCTGCTGTTTTTTCTCACCCTCATCTGTCTCCATTCCATATCTGCTACCTTTCTCTTCAACTTAATTCACAGATGCCCAGGAATGACTTAGTTTGGTTTTTTTTTTTTAAACCAACATTGTGAGGTGTGCAGTATAGAGTCTCCAAGGTTGGGAAAGACCTCTGTGATCATCCAATCCAACTGTCCACCTACCACGAGGATTTCCCCAATAACCCTTGACCCTTACACAACACGAAAACTTCTCTCGAACGCCTCCAGGGATGGTGGTTCAGCTACCTCCCTGGGCAGCCTGATCCAGTGCCTGACCATCCTTTCTGAGAAAACTTTCCTAATATCCAACCTGAACCTTGCGTGTCACAACTTGAGGCCATACCCTCTAATCTTATTGTTAGTTCCCAGGAGGTGAGGTTGCCTTCCACTTCACCTCAACTTCCTTTCAAGTTGTTGTGGAGAACAATGAGGTCTCCCCTGAGCCTCCTCTCCTCTGGACTGAACAATAGCAGCTCCCTCAGCTGCTCCTTTTCAGGTTTGTGTGCCAGACCTCTCACCAGCTTCATTGCCCTTCTCTGGACATGCCCAGGGCCTCTGTCTTTCTTGTAGTGTCTCTCTATCAAAGAGCCACTCTGTTTTGTGTACTTAATAGCTTTCTGTATCAAGTATCCTAGTTCTGGAGCAGGCAGACAAGCTGAAGCTTCTTTGTACGTAGTCAGAATAGTATTTATGAGAGAGTTTGAGAGAACTTGTGACCTAGATGCAATGCTAGTGTCAAAACTTCCTATGGCTGTTTTTATTTGCGTGTTGCTTAATGTATGGCCTGAATTTAGGCACTGAATCTCAGTTCCATCTCAAAGGTAGTTGAGGTTTTTCCCTCCCTTAGGAGACAAACTAAACTTCACACATGCTAAGCAGTGTATTTAAGCTTCCTTTTCAGCTCTTCACTTGCAGTCTTTGAGCAGCGGGACTGAAAGAATGAGAGTATTTATAATCAAAGCTGTATTGGCAATAAGTAAATTCTGCTGTTGTTTCTTTTTCCCCCACTCATCATTACCACACTTCGTTTTCTACTCTAAGGCAAACTTACCTGTTACAGATTTGTTTTTAACTTGGACTCTGTTTAGATAAAGCTTTCTGTTGTTGTTGCTGCTTTCTAAATATTGTATGGATTTGTTTCTTGTAGTGAAAATAAGCAACTTCAATCGTGCGAAGCCAAGACCTGACATAATTGAAGAAGAAAAGATGTATGCTTACCCTAGTCACATTACCTCAGAAGTTGGATTTGGGTAATATTTTTCTGTACTAATCTGCTGTGTGTTCAACTGTGTTAATGCTGACTGAAGGAACTGTGTTACTTCATGTAGAAATATTTGGATAGCCTTAAATCTGTCAGCCACAATAGGTATGGGAAGAATAGTTCAGAAAGGAGTCATAGATCTAAGACTGCTATTGTACGTACAGGTGAGAAACCAAGTTTTGTGCTTTTGTTTAGAAATAGCAATTTCTTGATAGGTGCAGGAACTATTGAAGATGAGACAGGAATTATTTGAACCTTCAAAGCTGTTTGCATCAGTCTTTAATGTACTACAAGTAACTGTGCTTAATCTCTTTATAATTGACTTGAAAAGCGAATGGGAGATCAATGTTAGTGTCTTATAGTGTTTACAGTGTGCCTCCAGAAGTGCAGCTTCTTGAAACAGTTCTTTCAGACAAGAAAAGAAATAGTAAACAGCTGATAGATGAAAAATGGGCATTTTTGTTCAATTGCTGACACAGAACAGCACATTGTAGCAAGGGAATTGAAATCTATTTCCAGTTCATGAAAGAATTATACATGTGGATGAGCCAATTGAGGCATGAGCATGACTTAAGCTTACATGGCTTGCAGTAAAAGCTGTAGTGCAGAAGTGCAGAGGTGACTACTGCTTCAGCCCTCCCCTGTGTATCACAAATGCAGCCTGCAGATGCTTTCATGGAACTTGAAAGTAGAGATTCAGGACACAGGAAGGATTTAGAGTTGTCCTGCTATTTTGATGCAATGTCTGACTTCCATCTTTATATCAACATTATGGCAACTGCATGGGGGAATTCTCCTTTCTTGTTTAACTCTTCCCCTGAGAAATCTTCAAGTGTTAGAGAAGTTGGCAACAATGAGCAGCTAAGGAAAAGATCCGATGCCTTGATTAACAAGTGTAAACTTCCTCTGTGAACTGATTACAAAACAGTTATTTTAATCCAGGTCTGTACAATTCTGACTCTTTCCTGTTGAGTTTAAGGTCTATTGAAAAGTGAATCCTGTTAGCTGTTCAGTTGACCTTCATTCTATGAATGCTTTATCAATACTGTGATCTCCTGACCTAACCTACTGATCAGGAGCTGTTCTGGTGCTTTAAGTTGGTGGTGCAGATTAGGGTTAGTGTTGTAAATGTTCTCTAAAATATTTGATCTTTTTTTTCCACCAAGCTTAACCACAGTGGGTTTAAATTGTACTACTTCCACTCAACTGGTCAGTGCACTTGAACTATAAGGGCACTGCTACTCAACGAAGTGCTGCAAGGCTGACTTCCTAAGTTCCAGGATGCTCAGAGCAGATTTGCAAGTCAGCCTGCAGCAACTAATGATTATGGGAAGACTGAAGTATTCTCACAGACTTCAGTACTTGTATCTTAATTTCTGACTGCAGATTTGGCAGTTCTGTAGTCTTACAGGTTTTATGAAATAGCTCTGTTTCACTGTGCTGGTTAAATATAGCCTTTGTAACATTGCTTTATGGAAGCTGGAGATGCTCTCAGCTTAGAGCTAACTGTATGTGAGGCACTGGATCTGCAGTAGCACAGACGTTAGATGCTAATGCTGTTAGAGTATTAACAAATAATATCACTACTCTTTTAGTCCAGGTTAATCAAGAAATGGTTATTTTACTCAGCTACAGGCAGCAAAAGCAGCTTGTAAATATTATGCTTCAAATACACTCCCTAATGTGGTTGGACGAGGTGGCATGGGTTTCTTAGTACAATCCTAGTGTGGTGTCTGTTTAAGTAGCTTAAGTTTGTGAAAGCTAAACAAGCAGCCTTGTACTACTGTGGTTCTTCTGTGTTGTCCAGCAGGAAGTACATAACTTGCTTATGCAAACACAACTCAAAGTTTAGCCTACCTTTTGTACTTCCTGCCCTCTCATCTATAAATGAGAATAGGTATAAAAGATTGTTTGCCCCTTTGAAAAGCAGTCAAGATGTTCCAAAGTAAAACTGAAGGAAGCAGTTTGCTACAGTATTGGTGAACGTGCACTGACCTTTCATATGCCAGGTATCTGTTATCTCTTATGGAAATGTGTATTCACTTCTGTTCTTTCAAGGGAAAATTCAAGTTTAGAAGAGATCGTTGAGAAGCAAGGAGATGTAATAGAATATCTTCAGCGACACAATGCACTGCTCAGCAAGAGACTGTTGGCATTAACATCTCAGCAAACCAAAACTTAAATGCTTGGAGAACTGCTGCTGGAGCTCAGGAGAGAATACGAGGCAATACAATATCCAAACAGACCTGTAGAGATGAGTCTTCAATCTTCTTTCCCATTTAAAAATAGAGCTTAAATTGCAAGTATGAGCTCTGCGTACACTGTAAACCTGTGACAACTGGACTTAATGGCTTTTTTCACATCAGTTCTGAGAAAATCTTCAGGAACATAAAGGATTTTTAATTCCTAAGAGGTTACAATTGGAGTTAAGGGACTGGTTTAACTTTTTTCAGTCGTTGCTGTTATTTTGCACTGGTGTATTTTTTTTTTTTTTGAGCTTTAAGTTACTGAAGTACTTTCTAGAATGCACATTTGTTCTCAATTAAAACCTGATTTTGCAGAGGATTCCTCTCAGCGTACAGTACTGAAGCTGGGGTATCTTGAATGTAGGTGTTCAATCACTGCACTTCAGTATGTCCAGTGTTCAAGGTGTTATGCTTCAATAATCCTGTACAAAGTAGATACTTGCATTCTAGATTTGTTTTCTCCTTTGCCCAGTAAAGGAATGAAGTTGTTTCCTATGCCAGCAGGAATATTTAGCATCCAGTTGAAATAATAAGAAGGGCAGAAGGGAAGGGTGGTATCCTAAAATGTACTGGGACTGCATGTGAGATTTGACAACGTTATGATCAGCAGTTTGAGGAGCTGATCAGAATGCTGGCTGTGGATAACAAAAAGGTGTCTTCAGGTCTGCTGATTCTCCTGCTACTGGAATTGTGTGTCAGCAAAGACTAAACAGGATTCCTTCTGCCTGCCAAACTGACACACAAATGGTAAGTGCTGTCATTGACCCTGTAACCCATTAGTGTTCAATGGGGTTTAAAGTTAGATCCTGTTAGAGCCACTGTCACAGTTGCTTTGTGCTTCGACTCTTCATAAATGTTGCTGTCTAAATTTAAAAGCCAAAATGAATGTGTGTGGTGGATATCAGCAGGGGACAGAATGGCCTTCTGGAAGTGGAAAAACAAGAGTTCTAACAGAATAAATTTATTGGGAAGGGTGGTAAAAATCATTCTTTTCAGATACTTTGTCTACCACTGTAGTCTAAGCATTATTTTAGAAGCAAATGTCTGTGGGAAGACAGAATAATTACTGGTCAAAACTGGGAGGAAGATCCTCGTGAGGAGTGGTCTTGTGGCTGAATATGGGGAAAGAAACACAAATATTCTATTTTTTTTACTGGAACACAACTTCAAAAATAACTAAACTGTCTACTGTAATAACAAAGATGGAGATTGTCTTTTATTATAAGAAAGAAGTTGATATTTTGCTGCTATTTAACACTAAACTGTACCCCTTAATTGTTTTTTGGAAATAAAGCCACGTTTTTGTAGTAAACATAGAAAGGATATAAATGTTTGTTTTTAGAACTCAGGTCTGAATGTGATTGTGTATAATGACTTAAATAACTGCTATGGAAAGCAGTCAACTGTGACTGAAGCTCATGTACAATAAATACAACTAAGGGGAACTGATGCCATTACTACTGTTCTGTGTAAGACTGCAGCATATTGTGAGCAGTTGTAAGCTGCTGAGTTGTTCTGAATGAATTCAAGGCTGGGATGACTGAACTTGATCTCTACACCCACCTCACTGTGGCCTGATGCCCACACCATTTGGGTAAGTAAGAATGGTTCTAAGAAGTGGAATGAAGGGACTGATAGGTACAGTGAGGGGAGAATGTGTTCTAGGAAAACAAGCCTTAGGCAGATATGCATCAGGGAAGGTTTAAATTAGGTGCCAGGAGGTGTCTCTCCACAGGGAAGGTAGCCAAGCACTGGAACCAGGCTGCTTCGTGTCCCCATCCATCAAGGTAGTGAAGATGTGTGCTTGGGGAACCAAGGGGATGTAGTTGAGTGATGGAATACTGTTAGACTCGACGATCAGGAGCTGTTTTCCATGCAGCAGATGCTGTGCTAAGCTGAGCAGCAGTACCAGCCCTGTTCCTGTGGGCAGCTACAAGGTGAGGGGCAGCTTTCTGTGCATGCATCTCCTGCTCTGGCCATGTCGCTGTGACGCATGCTGTCAATTGTGGATGCTGCTGAACTGGAGAAGCAGAGTGCTACCCTCATTCCAGCTCTGAGCCCTGGCTCAGAGAACTGCCTGTTCTACTGGCAGTGCTGTGCTTTGCTTTTCTGAAACCCACTGCTTGCTGTGAGCTTCACATGGGATGTTGGGTTTCTGACCACTGGCGATGACTCAGAGTTGTTCCCCAAATGTTCGTGTTAGTGTTCTGGCAGCTTTTGGCCAGGATGTTGAAATGAGCTAAATGCGTTTTGTTCTGCTTCTTAATAGTGCCTAGCAGAAATTATCCTGTGAAACCACCTCTGTGTTTCACCTCATGCAGGAAATCAGACTGCCGGACTTTGTAACAGCATTTCCATCTGTAGAGTGCTATACAAACTTCTGCAGTCACGCAGCTTCACCCTGCAGAAGGTCATCCTCACTCGAAGAAAGAGAGTGATGCTGAAGAACAAAGGCAGGCTGGCAGACAACGATCTGACCTTGAGGTAACTGGAGAGATGTTTAGGAAAAAAAAAAAGCAAACCAGCATCATCAGCATTGGAATTTGTTAAGCTTCCAGGGCATCGCTGTTAACTAGAGACAGGCTCCGATGTTTGTGCTGTCCAAGCCAGAGCCATTTCCCACTGCAAAGCATTCAGCAGACTGATCGCTAGCGGGGAAGATAAAGGCCATCTGCAGTAGTGAGAGATCAGTATGCTAATTGTACTTGTCTGATGATAGTCAGGCACTTGAAACTTATTTACCATGCTAATAGTGCTCCCGATTGACATTAATGCAAATCTTATGTGACCCTTAACAAAATCTGGCTTTGTGTCTGCCGCTCTTGAGATATTTATAGCCTATGTATGTGGCGTAAGGGAAATATTTCCAGTCTTTCTTCTTCCATAAATTTCCTTTTTTCATTTTGGAAAGGGAAGAAGTGAATTGTTTATTATTCTTTGGGAACGAACTGATCGGCTGTTTCTCACCGCGGCCTTACACTTACCTCCATTTCCTGTCTGTTCCATGCAACCACGAGACCAGGCATTAGTTCTGAGTTTCAGAAAAATTCACATTTTGGACTTTGGAGTCTGGGGGCTGAGTAGACCTCCGGTCAGGTCTCTTGGTTGTTGGATTCTATCAATTTAATCTCAGTTCTGAGTTTGAATGGACAGCAACTTTCCTTTAAAACGGGCTTCCTTTATACGCTCATGCATGCAGATGGGGAATTGAGCTGTTCTAGCACTGAGCCCAAATACTGCATGTTTATACGTCTGATCACACTGTATCCTGGGAAACTCTTTTTGCCATAATATGTTGCACAAATTATCTACAAAAATTCAACTAAGTCAAGGACAAGCCTGACTCGGCTGAAAACAACGCAGCCCTATTAAATGTAAATGATAACACAGAGTGGCCCGGGTTGGAAGGGACCTTGAGGATGATGAATCTCCAACCCCATGCCATGTGCAGGGCCGTCAACCTCCACATTTAATACCAGCCCAGGCTGCCCAGGGCCCCATCCAACCTGGCCTTGAACACCTCCAGGGACAATATTGTGCACTAGCAGCATCACTAGGCTCTTGAACTGCAGTGTTCAAGATAGGTAGCTAGGGCTCAACTTACAGTGCCTGACCTGTGCAGGGAGAAGCTACCGCAAGTTTTTGTTTCTGCTGCTCTTTGCCCTGTTTCCAAATGTTTTGTCCTGAAATCAGCAAAGTTCTTTTGGACTTTCAGATTCTAAACCCTGCACCCTGAGCTCATTACAAGTCTTGCTTATTCTATACGTGTTGGCAGTGCGTGGTCTGCAGTCTGCTGTAATCTTATGGTGTTGTGTCACAGTGGAGTGTGTTGTGATTACATAAGCAGTACTTTTAAAACAAGTTCTTCTGACTTTTACCAGAATTTAGCATTTATTTGTAAGAAATCCAGTAACAAAGGGTTTTACACATAGCTTCTATGTCAATTTACAGTAAAAGTAGAAAAAAAGCTCTATTTTCTCTAGGTGCATCACCTCTGACATAAGAATAGCAACGTCGAGCAGTGTACAAGGATTCCTTAAAAAGAAGCATTGCTATTTGAAGTGCATACTTTTCACAAAATATACAATCAGCTAGCATATAAACATATCTATCATATATTGCCATCAATGTCTTTCTCAAAGAAAATTTTGTTACCAATGTGCCTTTAAAAAAAAACAAAACAACAGACATTAAAAATTTTGGAGAGACTGACAACAGGCTTCCTAGGACACTTTGGTGAGTGTTGCATTTGTTTTTATATTCATAAAGGAACATGCATACATAGGACTTTGGTATTAAATCTATACACTCATTATTAAGGTAACCATTAAATAGTTACTTTTGAGATGTCTTGCTTTCCATAATCTCTGCGTTAGGCATATAAGAAGGCTAAGTTAAATTAAAAACAAAACAAAACTAATTTTAATGGCAGCATGCTTTAATTTTGGAAACTAACTCCAAAGATTTACCTTGGTGGCTGTTGATATAGACAAGTTTGACTGTTTTGATGGCACTGTTTATTTTTTCACAAACCCATCATAAGGTGATGTTAAACTTTCCTGCGTGTTTTCTGTAGGGAGAAATTTGAAACTTGTTATATTTATCCAGTGCAATTCTGGCTAGGATTTCAAATCCTCAGAGATAAGGGGTTACAAGTGGACACTGATTAGGAAGTTTCAACTATCCAGTCTTAACAATTGTTTATTTCACTTATTAGCATCTATGCTTTATGAAATCAAATTCTAACAGTGAATTTAGATAATTACACGCTGCTCTTTGCTCATCCTTACAACCATTTCCTTTTTTAGGAAACTTTTGATATTTAAAACTAGTGTGGTGTCAATCTGGATACCAAATTTCCTGGTTGTTTTAGTTCCCCCGAATGAAAGGACTGCCATGTTTTGCTTTATATGCAGTTGGTAACTTCTGCCGATATAAAAAGCTGTCAAAAGCTCATTTTTTTAAAGTAAAAAGTGAAATAAAAGCTAAGTTTATTCTTGACCTCTGGTGCAGAGGAGAACAGCTTGTTTTTCTCTTTTAAGTTCTTACTCATTGTAGTGCCACGTCCCCGCGTTCCATTCATTTTAATCACAGCAATAGTGTACTACAGAGCACCGGTGGGTTGGACAAAGGTTTCTTTTCAATGGTCTATTTTTATGCTCTATTTACAATGCTGTCGTGAGTATTTTAGGAAAAGGACTGAACAATTAGATCTACAGTGTTGAGTCTTCAGTAATGTTTTAGCTGCTGGTTTGACAGCCCAGTTTAAGGGAATAAATGATAGGCTTTGCAGTAACAGCTCATTAAACAGCTGGATGGGCTTGACCTTAAGGGCTGGCTTGGGAGACTTGAGTTATCAGTTTTGCAGTAGGTTTTGCATGACCCTTGGCTGATCTCTTATCTCTGTGTGCCTTAATTCTCTACCTAGAGAATGAGGGGTAATACTCCCTTTACTTTCTCGTATCATAACTTCTTCACTGTGGGAATGCTTAGTGAAAAGAGTATGGCATGGTGCTGACTTTGGTGCTATTGACAGTAACACATTCTACACTGCTATTAAGACAAATTCATAAGGATGAAATGTTAGGTGTTAAAACATACGTATCATTAATATATCAATGTACTTACTAAAAATGGACTTAAACAGTTCTGTGTGTAAGTCTGACATCATTTCACACTAAATATTGCTTTACGTGCATAGCTAGAGTTAAATACAATCCACAGCACATCCAATTTCTTCATCTAAATAGTACAGATGTTAAGAGTCCCCTTGGACAAATCCTTCTTTATGCCACTGGAAATCCATTTCGGGTATCTGATGTTTGATTTGGTCTTGAATTTTCACTGATTGTTGTGAGATCGAAATGATGTGCATTTCAACCAGTGAAGTTTCAGGTACATCCTCCCTCCCTCCCCCCCCATCACCTCCCCTGTTTTTCCCTTCTCCCCGCTTCTAGGATATGAGTCACAGGCCTTTGTTCCAGGTCACACAGAATGTGATACACAGGACTGCTGAAAGTGTTCATTTTAGATGGACTGCCTCAAAGCAGGATTGTTGTGGCTCCACCAGGTCAGCTGTCGGCGAGCTGTACTTAGAATGAGCTTCTCCATCAGTGCAGTTGTTGCAGCTTCCTCCTTTAAGACACTGAAAAGCCCATTATGAAATTGCTGAGGTGGAAAAAAAAAGGAAATCTATTAGTTACAAAATAAGTGGTTGAAATTTGAGGGAATTTCTCTGATTTGGGAAATTTCAATTAGCAGGTAAAGGAAAAAAAGCAAATATTAAGGTAAAAGCATCTCATACCTTCCCCAGCTTTTTGTTTCAACTTTTCTCTATGTTAACAGATTAAAAAAAAAAAAATCAAGTTTGACCCCTTCATCATTACAAATGTGAGAAAGGCAGGCTGTTGCATTCATCCTAGTTTCCAACCAGCTGCTGAAATTCAGGATTAAGGGTCCATCCTGTTTGCATCTGCAATTAGCTTTATCCATATGTAGAACTCCATTGAGATCAATAAGATTACTCAGGTGAGTCAAGTTACCCAGGCATGTAAATATTTGCTGAATTAGGACTAAAACTGGAAGGGAATGTAAATGTAGATAGCAAATCCTACTTAAGATAAAGGAGTTGAGCACCCACAATGCTGACTAGGGTTAATGGTCAGTTCAGGTGCTTGTCACCCAAAGTCAAGCTTTATGTATTTCTAGATAGCTTTGTAAAACAGAATTCTATTACTAAATGCCTATCAAATACATTATGTGTTAACAAGCATAGCTGTGTCATTGACTTTTTAATACGAGAAACCAGCTCTCTACATCCAAGGAGATAAATTGAGAACAGCTTTTATCTTGATATGCTGTAGGGAAAACGTTTGCAGTGTCACTGCACAGGTATGATGTAGTAAATGGACTCTGAAGCATTAGAGAAAATGCGATGTTCTCTACACAGCCAGTCCCCAGACTGGATTGATGAACAGGAGCTGAGATGCTGCTCTCAGCAACTCAAACGAGCCACGGAGGTGTGATCCAACAAGCAGAGCTAAATTCCCCTATCACTGCCATTGAACTAATTTCACTCCTGCACGCTGAGTCTGACTGCCTGTCTTTTAAGCTTTGTACTCAAATGAGACTCCCTCACCAATCTGAAGTGCCTCTTGTCAACATGAACAGCGCACTGAGATACGCAATCCGACATCCTCCTCTCACATCCCTTTCCACTTCTTCTACCCCTCATTCTCCAGCAAGACCCAGATTAAACCTCAGGTGCGGTAATCTTTACCGAGTCTCGGGGATGTGCCGGCTGAATGTCCCGTATGCACGGACCACGTGCTTACAGGCCAGACCATGCAGCAGAGTGGTGCTTTTTTTGGAGGGTTGTGTTAAGAGCAAGGCAGTTCATGCACTGCCGACAGGTCTTGGTAATCAGCTAGAAGTTTGACTTCGGTCTCCTTTTTTTGCTCTTAGCTGCTTAGTAAATCAAAACATCTGGGTATCAGGGTTTATCGATGATGCTGTCAAGCCTCGGCCTACAGCGTTATTTTGATATGTGAGTTTAGAAGAGGAGGAAAACCGCATGTTTTATTCATCTTTAAATTGCAAGAGCCCCGCTTTCCTTTTGAAGCCTGCCCTATTTGCATATGCTACCTGCAGCCGCTTAGTATTCGAATGTATATGCCCTCATCAGCTGTAAAGCGTTATTGTTTAGCACTTGTATAGCCGAGCAAGGCAAAGTCTTTCAGCGACCGGAGTCACAGCGCTCTTTGAAGTGGGGAAACCCGCGGGCGGCTCGGCGCTTCCTGCGGGGCGGCCGCCTCGGAGCGGGCGGGTGGAGCAGCGCACCCCGAAGCCCTGGTTGTTTTCAGAGCGAAGCCCCGAGCCCGGACACCGGGCAAAACACCTCCGCGCTTCGGTCAGAAGCGTACCCGCAACGACTCCGGGGGAGGGCACCCGGCCCGGCTTTACGAGCATTACCTTCGCCGGGCGTTCAGGGAAAGGGCACGCGGGAGTGGAGCGGCATGCACCGCCGGTGCGAGCAGCTGTGTCGGTGCAGCTTCCTGCGCAGGGCCAGGTTGGCTGCGGGAGAAGGAGGCAGGGCGTCAGGCGACTAGCGCAAAGTTTCACCCTCCCTCCCGGCGGGCGCCTGCAAACGGCAGCGCCGTGACACCCCGGCCCCGTTTACCCCGAGGTTCGCGCGGTGTTAGCGCAGGTGCGCCGCGCACACGCGGGTTCCGAACCGCCGACCCCAGGGCATCGCTTACCCGGTCTCTGCGCGGCGGCGGGCAGCAGGCTGGCCAGGAGCAGGAACACGACGCACAGCAGCTGCCGGAGCCTCATCCCTGCGGTCCGCCTGGGTACGCAGCGTCCGTGCCGCCCGCCTCAGCCGTGTCACATGCCAGCGGCAGCCGCTCTCCCAGCCGGGCTAATAGCACCGAGCGGCTGGAGCCTCCCTCTTTTTCCCCGCTCCTTTCCTCCCTCTTTTTTTTTTTCTTTTTTTTTTTTCCCCCTCTTGTCACTCCCCCTTACTTTCCATAAGCAAACAATGAAGGAATGAGAAGGCCGAGTACACGGCGGCTCCCGTCAATAGGCGAGGAGCCTTCGGAACAATGCCGTCGCTCCGCTTTCCATTCAGCCCGGGCAGGGAGCGGGCTGCCCCGTGCCCCCTCCCCCGGAGCCGGCGGGACAGGAAGCGCCTTTTTGTCCCACGCCGCTCCGCGGGCAACGAGCCGCCAAGCGGCCGCCACTCAGCGCCCGGCAGCGCTGCGAAGCCTCGGGGGCCCTTTTGTGCCGCTGAGCACCTGAATGTGCCAGGAGCCGTTTCCCGGCGGAGCTTGGGGTGTTTTATAACAAAGGAGGAGTGCTGGGGAAAGCTGAGCTTGGCACTTCCCGTGCTTGGTGCTTTTGCGGCGGCCTGTGTGCAGGACTGTGTCCAGGTCTCCTCCTGTTGTCCCCCAGCCTTCTGGGGGCTCGGGATGCGCTTCCAGTCGGTGGCGGAGAAAATGAACATCTGAGCCTTGTGGGAAAAAGCTACTTGTTTAAAGTAAGTCAGCAAGAGTGCAGTTCTACGCTGTGCTGTTAATAGAAAAGCGTCCTCCAAAGCGCTCCACAGCTCTTAAGAGCGGAGTTTGCTTTTTAAGGCAAGCACTCCTGTGTCCTTCCCACTGTTTCCCCTTCTCCCCACAAGCTGTTTCACTGGACACCATTACTGCTTCGTTTGTCCAGGTAGACTGTGTGAAAGGAGAGGGACTTGCAGCTCTACATAGCAGCAGCTGATGTTAGATGCTGTTACTTTAAAATGACTTTACTTTAAAATGCCAGCAGTGCGCTCTGGCAGCTCGAAAGGCAAATGGGATCCTGGGCTCCATCAGGAGAGGGGTGGTCAGCAGGGACAGGGAGGTGATCGTCCCTCTCTACTCGGC